AAGGCCTATCGTGACACTCTTCAAGACTTTAATTTGAGACAACTTTGGAGGGCAATTTAAAAAAAAACTACGGAACTTAGCAAAAAACAAATACCCCAGCCATGTATATTAACTCTATCTTATCCATCGAGGTGAATTTCGTGAACATCACATTTCAATCAAGGAAACAAGAAGACTTCAATGACAACTTATTCGTTCGCTTAAGTCACACACGCGAAAACCGATCAAATTCAAGGTAAATTTTTGAAAAAGTGAGGCGTTCTTAACTGATCCAACTAACACAGCTAGGAAGTAGATGCCATAGAAATGGTAACTACAGAAAAAACTTTGCGGCCCGACCTTTGTGAAAACTTTATAACTCCGCGAACTTACCTGATTGTCGGCAGTCTTCAGCTTTGGCCGCCATTTTGACGGACTCGTCAACACTAAGGGTTGCAGATATAAATCGAGCAGTTAGATCTAAAACCGTCAGAAATACATACGGAAGCAATTTAAATTAACTTTTCTTTCAATTCAAGCGGTAAAATTTGCAATTGTTTGTTAAACTTACCATTCCTACATTCCCATGCGTCCATTTCTTCCGACAAGTCAAGCACTACAACTAGTGTTCGAATTCCCCTCGTCGATGTCACCATAAGAAATAACCTGTGTCACCCAAGCTTAGACTTGAATGTGAAGTACGAATCACATAACACAACTGCTTCATTTTCGAGGCGATATCACGCTGGTTTTTTGATTTTCTGATCGACAATAACGGCGATCACGAAGTGATATCGATCGCCATGTTTACCTCATAAACGAACAGCTGACCAGCCGCTAAGTGAAAACAGTACTGCTCAGTGACGAGGAGGAGGGTATGGGGTGGGTGCGGCAGATTATCAGATTTTTGGGAACATTCGAATATATTCATTAAAGTATCATAGTATGCATTACGATTCTCAATCTTTGTGCAAAAGCATGCTTTGTGTTGCAGATCTAAACAACTTTTGTTTTGCTCGGTATTCTTTTTTTTCTTTCAAATACATTTAGTTCCAAATAGGATCGGCATCAGTTCATAGATTTATAAACAAATCTTTACCATGTAAATAACCGCGTTCAGATAATCGAGGTAACCATTGAACCTCTTTTATCGCATCAGTAGTAAAGTTGTCTTTGCTCAACTCCGAGAGCGTGGAGCGGCAAAGACGCGACACACGAGTCACGCCTCTCGCGGCTTCACCATTCTCGCAGGATACGCGTCACCTCACTATATTTAAGTAAAATAAGAAACTGCTTGCAGTCTGTATTCCGTTCAACCATTTCACATGAGTGACGCGAGTCTCTTCAGTTGAGTGAAAAAGTCACAAACCCATTCTTTACCTCACGAGCGTAACCCGCAAACTACTGACGAATTGCTCCCTTGGCGCGGAAATTGAAATCGTATCGAGTATACAAAGTTAAAGTGAGTTCCCTTAGATCTCCCGAACTTGTATCGCGTTGGAAACAAATTCTCAGCCTGTATGTTCTGATCCTGAAGAGCTGAGGAAACTTCAAGAGCCTTCGAAAAGCTAAGTGATCGGCAAATAAAGAAAGCGAGACTTCACTATTTTACTGTTTCCATGCTTAAGGAAATCTGTAGTTTCTACAAGCTCCCATTTAAATCTAGAAATTCCAAAGCTGTTCTAATGTCAAAAATTAAGGAAACGACCCATGAATGCCAGTGCTCAGTGGAAGGATAGTTATACCATCAAGCAGTGATGTAATGGACCTTGTTGCTGTCTGTAATAGCCACCATTTTGCTAGAACAAAGTATATGTATATATTTAGCGTGGTACACAAAAAATCAGTTTACTTCTAAAACTCTTAGTCGTTGTCGTATGAAAAAAAATGTATGGTAAATTTGAAAATGAAAAGAAAAGGGTCAGATCGAATAAAGGTACGAGCTGAAACTAACATGGTTCACTTGACAATTTTATGTCGAGCTTATGAGTGGAAAACACTAAAAACTGTACATTGCTACTTTTATTAACACCATACGTAAGTGACATTGGTTACTGTTACGGAAAATCATATTTTAGAGTCAGCTTTGTATAAAGCAATGATGCTGCATACATTCTTGGGAACAGCAAAATTGACTTAGAACAAACATTCTAAGTACAGTGTTCTTTCCTTGCAAATGGGGCATAAATAAAAGGTTCTGGTAAAAAGACATCTTACTTTATTCCACAGAAGACAAGCAAAAAGTAATATGGGTACCTCGGTTAAAAATACATCGATAACTCTATTAATTAATACCAGATCTAATTTAAAGGAAAAAGTTATGAGAATAAAATAAAAGTAGTCTGTACCACGAAGCATCCCTTCACTGTTTAGACTGAGAGTCCTAAAGTTTTTTGAGCATGTCTTCAAATAACTTATGACGATAAGCCCCCACCCACCCCACCCCGCGCCGTTCCGTTTTTACTTAGCGGATGGTCAGCGGTCCTCTTACAAGGTAAACATGGCGATCACTTCCTGAACGCTGTTCTTGTCGATCAGAAAATCAAAATACCAGCAAGATATTGCCTCGAAGATGAAGCTGTTGTGTTATTTGATTCGTACTTCACATTCGAGTCGAAGCTTGGGTGGCACCGGTTATTTCTTATGGTGGACTGACTAAGGGAATTTGAACACTAGTTGTAGTGTTTGAATTGTTGGAAGAAATGGTTGCATGGGGATGTAGGAATGGTAAGTTTAACGAATAATTTCAAATTTTGCTGCTTGAATTGAAAGTAAAGTTCATCCGAATTGCTTCCGTTGGTATTTCTGACGGTTTTAGAGCTACCTGCTCGATTTATTTCTGCAACGCTTCATGTTGACAAGTCCCTCAAAATGGCGGTCGAAGCAGGAGATTGCCAAAAATCAGGTAAGTTCGCGGAGTTATAAAGTTTTCGCAAAGGTCGGGCCGCAAAGTTTTTTTCTGTAGTTACCATTTCTATGGCATCTACTTCCTAGCTAGGTTAGTTGGATAAGTTAATAACGCCTCACTTTTTCAAAAATTTACCTTGAATTTGATCGATTTTCGTATCTGTAACTTAGGCAAACCGATAAGGTGTCATTCAAGTCTTCTTGTTTGCTTGATTGAAATGTGATGTTTACGAAAGTCGCCTCGATGGATAAAATAGTGTTAATATGCATGGCTGGGGTATTTGTTTTTTTTCTGAGTTCCGTATTTTTTTTAAATTGCCCTCCAAAGTTGTCTAAAATTTAAGTCTTGAAAAGTGTCACGACATGCCTTCGCACGAGTGAAATTTTATTTCCGTAAAACTCTGAAAAATAAAGAGATCCGATCAAACGGATTGTGGTTTTAGTATAGGCACAAGAATTTCTTACAACACACAAGAAATGAGGGAAATCTGTGTGTCAAGCAAAATCGACCGGACCGCTTTTACAGAGACACTCTCTTATGGTTTAACTCAGAGTCAGGTTTTAAGGCCCTCAGCGCCTTGTGTTCGGCCGGAAGCAAATTATCTTTTCGCTTTGTAATTTCTGAAAGGTCCCTTTTTAACCTCTTCTAATAGCTTTCAAGGGCTACTGATTTTTGTATTGGTGGTATCCATGTAGATTTGACGTGGCAGGGATGGGTATTTTTGTCCTCCCCTAGGAATATGTAAATCAGACGCATTCTCCTTGCAAACTGATCAAAGTCACACAATAGTTGTTGTCTGATCTGTTTTTGTTTTGTAGCGGGTGTTGAAATGAATTTGAGCCCTTTTGCCAGANCCACACTAGTGCGAGCGCTTCTTTTTCTGTCTGACTGTATCTCCTTTCTACGCTGCTAAGGCTCCTGCTTGCGTAACAGATGGCTCTGTCCACACCGTTCTTCTCCTGGACTAGCACTGCACCTAGCCCCACCGGACTTGCATCAGCTATCACTCGAGTATGTGCCTCTTTGTCAAAGTATGCCAGAACAGGCGCCTTGGCTAACTGCTGTTTCAGTTCCTGAAATGACGCTTCTTGCTCACTGTCCCATACAAAGGGTACTCCCTGCCTAGAGATCGCTCGTAGAGGTTCTGCAATGGTGGCAAAGTTGGGAATAAAACGTGCATTGAAGCCGACCATCCCCAGGAAGCTCCTAACCTTTGTTGGTGTGGTTGGGCGGCTTGATTCAAGTACAGCACGGACTTTCTCTTCTGTTGGACCGATACCGTGCTTTGACACTAGAGGTCCCATGAAGACTACTTTGTCCATCCTGAATTGACACTTCTGAGGGTTGAGGGTGAGATTCTTCTCCTCTAATCGCTGCAATACTTTATGAAGATGCCTGTCATGCTCCTCATTATTCTTGCCATGCACTATCAAGTCATCGGCAATGTTCTGAACCCCACCGATATCAGAGACCACTTGTCTTATTATCTGCTGATACTTCTTAGGTGCTGAGTTTACTCCGAAACTCAGCCTCTTGTTTCTGAATAACCAATCATGTGTGGCAAATGTGGTTATATCTCTGGAGTCCTCATCTAGTTCAATCTGGTGGAATCCCAGACAAAGATCCAATTTTGAAAACACTGCACTGCCATTGAGATTTTCCAACACCTCGTCCACCGTCGGGATGGGTATCCTTTCACGAATGATAGCTTAATTTGCCTTCCTCATATCTACGCACAATCGGATATCCCCTGATGCCTTTGGCGCAATCACCACAGGACTAACCTATGACGTCGGCCCATTTACTCGCTCCACTATATCCTTAGCAATGAGGTCTTCAACTTTCGCAGTTACTTTCTCTCCCCGTGCAAATGGGACACGCCTTGGTTTCTTAGCTACTGGTGTCACCTTTGAGTCGACGTGTAGTTTCAGTTTGTAGTCTTTCAGCTTGCCGACGCCAACAAACACTGTTGGATACTTAGCCTGAAGAACTAGCGCTAAGTTCTCGCCAACGACATTGCATTCCACAAATTCACTGCTGACGCTCGAACTATTACGAAGCAAACCCAGAGCTTGTGAGGTTTCGTGGCCAAGCAGACACCGTCCACTCTTAGTGACTACTAAGTGCGAACCTATCCTGTTATCACCTGCCGGGATCTCAACTTTAACGTGGCCAATCACTTCCAACTCTCTCCCGCCATACGCATACAACAGCTTGTGGCAATCCTCCATCTTCGCGTTAAGGCCTTGGGCCTTAAGTTCTTCATATTCTTCCATTCCTATGAGGTTACTTACTGACCCTGAATCAATGAGTACTCTTGTTGTAATGCCATTAATATTCAATTTCAGCACTGGTTCTTTGAGACGGGTTGCATTGCATGTTTCTCCTTGATTCTCTGTAACTGCAAATGGAAAAGCACAGTTCTCCTCGCTGTCAGATGCGTTCTGATCGCCCACGAAGTTAGCATCGTAAGACTGGGGTCTATCAAAATCCCTCCTTGGTTGATCCGGTTTACCTCCTGTTGCATAATTACCACTCTGTGCCTTACAACACAAAGCAAAATGACCATACCTCCCACATTTTGCACATTTCTCTCCTTTTGCTGGACAACTCCTAACAATGGGCAGATGGCCCTCTCTTCCACAATTGTAGCACTTTCTGGCTTTATCATCTCTTTGTCCTTGTCTCGTCTTGATTGCATTGACGGTGTCTCCTTCATTACCACTGGGTTCACAGTCATGTTTGTTGCTTGTCTCCCAGTCGCTTCCCAAGCACGAGCTTTATCTAAGGCTTCTTCCAGTGTAATATTCCTGTGTTCCAACAATGCCCTCTTCAGCTCAAAATCCGTTAACTACTCGATCAGCTGATCCCTCAAGTTGTCGTTCAAACTCGTTCCGAAATTGCAATGCCTAGCTTGTTTTCTTAGGCGTACCATAAACTGGTCAGCGGTCTCCCCCTCCTGCAGTGACAGCTGGCAAAAAACATGGCGCTCGTAAGGTATATTCTCCTCGACGCGAAAGTAGAAATCCAGATTGCGAATAGCGACCTTATAAGCGTTATAACCCTCCGCTGGGATAGGACCAGGATCTTGAAAGTCTTCGAATATGTCTTGCACCTCCATACCGGCGAAATGGAACTTGAGACGTCTTCTTACGAGCATTGTCCATGCCCTTTCCTTCGGCATAATATTCGAACGCGCCCTTCCATTTGAATGCATATCCTCTATCCCTACGTTCGTGGAGTTAATTTTTGTGATAGGCGCTAAGGAAATATAAAATCGATGAGGTGACTCTGCTGACTATGTACACTAGAAACTCGCTGATTGTTAGTTATTTTATTTTCGGACCAGTCAAACTTTAGTTTGAAAGTCCAGCTTACGTGAACTTACCACGGATCAGTCAGTCTCACATTCAAATGATACTTAAAATACACTGAGTCGCTGAGTGACTTAAGTCCCTTAGGCTTTTTGAAGAGGGAGAGGTGAAGTGGTCGAAGTGACTCACCCAGACCCCTCTGTCGTTGTGTACGTAGCTTCCCTGAGGTTCATAGATGCTCACTGAGCCAAAATGGACAACTTTGCTCCACAGAGTAGGCTGACTATTAATTCCTTTCCTTTACACCACCGGNGTTTACATTTGGCATCGATGTAGTTAGCTTAGTCCCTCCAAAAATGTGACCAAAATTGAACTAAACTTTTCATCGTTTAGTCCACAATCAATTATTATCGATACGGTACCTCAAAAGGTAAACGGTCGATTCACCAACGTGTCAGTTCGTCAACGTCAGTTCGCCAACATATGAGGTCGATTCGCCTACTTCTAATGTCAGTTCGCCAACGTCCAAAATAATTATAATTACAAATGACTATGGGATTAAAATTTTACTTTTTATGTGTTCACGAGTGTTCGTAGATTAATATCTTTTGAAATTGTTCGTTTCACTCTCCCCAATCTCTCATTTCCTCGACGGCTGATCGTGTCTCAAAAAAAAAAAGATTTTGAAAACCATGTAAGGCTTTTACCTAGTAGAGTCAGTATAAACCTACTGTAAAAGATTTTTATTTAACGTTCAGTAGTTAATGAATAGCTATTGGCTCCCAAGATATCTGTTTCAGTACACGTGGAAAAGCGTTATCATTATTCACTCGCTCACATGCATCGCAACAAGTCAAACAAAGTCCGTTGACCGATCGACGGCCGATCGTAAAACCTTTTAAAAGTCTTTGATCGATCGACGGCCGATCACGTTTGAAAAGAACTCGAAAACCATCCACGGCTCATACCCAGAAGACGAGTGCAACAAGTGAGTAATACACAATGCTTCTCCATGCGTAGTGAAGCAAATGGCTATTTAACAACGCAAATATTAAATAAAAATAAAAATAATTGAAATGTTCAGCAATGCTCAGCAATATCAGTAGGGGATTGAGATGATTCATATCTTACTCAGAGTTTTCTCCAAACTTCCTTGAAATTTATGATCTTCCACGCAGTCCTCTCTCTTGGTATAGCTTTCCAAACAGTCGGTCACTCCCGACAGCAAGAACTACTCCAAGTACACGACAAAGTTCTCATATGTATTTACGAACGGTTTTCCGGAACATACCAGAAGCTTACAATACAGCTATTTAAATTTGATCCTATTACATCATACAATACTGTGCAAAAGTAATGCAAAGGATAATCGCCGAATATCTCGGTTATCGCGATATATCGGCGGTATGTGAGCGATATTTTAGTTTGTGGAGAGAGTGCATGGTAATGAATCGTAGTAGATATGATTATAGTTTTCTCTTGTTATTTTTATTTTTTATATTTTTAATTTCCGGAAGCAGAGAGTCTCCTTTTTGTTAATATACAAATAACTGTATATGGAAATTATACATGTTAAATGCGGATTAATTAAGAAATGAAAATGAGAGCGAGTTTATAAACACTCGAAATAATTATTGCGGTGAAAAGTAATTCAGTAATCTCGAAACATCAGCGTTTTAACGCTCTGCGGTGGCCAGTTTGCAATTTCAACTTAGTTGATCTTACCAAATTACCCAAGAGTGTTATTCATTTCAAAGGTCTCGCCCACTGTCAATTTTTTACCGTTAAAATGACTATTAAAACAGTCATTGAACCTGCTTATACGCTCGTCGTCGTTTAAGTGTTAATATTTAAGGGAAAAGGGAGACAATGCTTACAGAACCCCTCCCTATTTACAAGCATAGCCTTATAGTTTATACACGAATAACTATGTTTGAAAATCATATATGAGAAATGCCGATTAATTTAGAAATGAATAAGATTGAGTTTATTTACACTGGCGAATTTGAAAAGAAGACATTTATCCGCGGATCCTGCTAAACATTAACGTTCTTTTTACGTAAAATCTGAATACTTCCAATTACAATTGGCTAATCAGTGGTAATGCAGGCTCTTCTGATTTGAGGTGTTCTCATTAAATTAAACTAGCGGGGAACTGTATTTCCTATAATGCTCTATCGTAATTTCTCCTTTTTTCCTCTTTTCTATTTTTTCATATCTATTACCACTATTTGTGGTAATAGATATATTCATCATAGAAATTTTTATCACACAATTTTAGAAGCCGCGAACCAAGAGAAAACCAATAGTATGGATGATTTTGTTTTGAAAGATGAYATAGCTACTAGTGATCTATTTGTAAGACGACCATCTCCATTTTATGTACTTATGAACTTATGGTTCATAGAGTGATGTGACTGGCGTTCACGGTGAATATGAGCATTCATTATCGGGGTTAAGCGAGCGTGAAAATCGATTACAACTGTAAGAGCTCGTTCCAGAGTACAGCAAATCAACATACATGTCCAGTACAACCAAACTGTTGCGATTCGTCTACGGTCGTTGACGAATCGTCACACGGTAATAAAATCGTACGTCAACATACCGGAAGTTGAGGGGTGAGAGCAAATTTAAGAGTGAATTTGAGTGGCATGGTGAGGGAGTGAATGACAACTTGAACCTTTTATGTTCTGGAAGCGTGAAAAGGCCGGAAGTCCATTTTTAGAATATTAAATACAGTGCAGGGGCAGAAAATCTACACGAATCGATACTATTCGCACTCATCAACTCGATTCGGTTTTTGTTGGGTCGATCCGTCTCATCGGAAGTCGATTCGCAAAAGGAGACAATACAAACTTAAGCGTTAAATTAAGGTATTCAATGTTGCTAAATCGACACAATTCGCACGGGTCGACTCGACTCGCCATAAGTAAAGTCGATCCTTCTCATCGGAAGTCGATTTGTAGAAGAAGGCAACACACTTAAGCGTTCATAATTCGCACGGTCGATGTCATCGACAATCCTTCAGTTCATTACATTACATTACATTAAGCTTTAGATTAGGGCATTAAATTTAGACAAATCATCATGATTTGCAAGGATCGACTTGACTCGTCTTTAGTAAGGTCAACCCGTCTCATCGGAAATCTATTCGTAGAAGAACAAAATACACACTTAATAAAGCTGTGACTTTTGGACGTTTATATCAATCGATTTTCCTGCGCATATCACGTGGTGCCACAGTTTCTTAAGAAACCTACCCCCTTCATTCCTTAGACCAGTTTGTCTGTTGTCTTTGTTGAATTTGGGTTAAGGATTGCCCATCTTGTGAAATTTTAATGGGTGGGCCTCTTGTGGACCGGTGTTTGGTCATTTTACCAATATATAGCGAAATTGTGATAGATATAACAAGGCTGCGGATTATGATTTTTTTTTTTTCTATCTAGCCGTATGAATTTGGTCTTCGGATCTACCTTTATCGTAAAATGTATTAGTCATTATTCATAATTGACGTTGCTGTCAACTTTTATTCGCATAAATAATACACACTTGGACAGGGAGGATATACTTTTTTGGGGTAATTTACTGGTTTTTTTTATTAAAAAAACCTGGTGGAGGCTTATGCTTAAAAAAAAATTACGCATTCTTCTGATATGATACAATGACGTTAAAGGGAAAGTACGATCTAGAAAAAGTTTTAGTGCGAATAATTACGTTCCAAATATCGGCATTTTCAAACAGAAATCCTTTTCTTTCTTTGAAATGAACACTGATATCCTTACGTGGCAGCAAATAGGATTAAAAACCTTAGAATTGAAAGCCTATACCTGCATCCGAACTTGACTACCTTCTGTCAAGTTTTGTTTTACGGAACGATACCCAGAAAAAAATTAAGAATAGAACGACCAAAGAACAATCTCTAGCTCTTGCGCAACAGTTTGCGGCGATACTTAACCGAGAAGAAGTACGCACTAAAGATGTTCACAGACAATGAGTATGAAGAGTCAAGAAGGGTACAGCTGCTATTTGTGAGTCGCCTGTTCACGTGCACGTGCTTATAGGAATTAATTCCATTTTTGTCGCACTCATCTGGCTAAAGCTGCTTGACTTACATGACGGTTCCTGTTTGGGAATAAATACGTCCTTAATGACATATAAAAATGCTCTGATTTTTATTAAATGCCGCTCGTGACTTAACGCTTTCGTAATAACTAAGTTATCCATGAAAGGCCTGATCTCATAAGACTGTTGCAAAACATTTCGGAGTCTTGGCCTTCTATTTTCACATGACTTCTGCAAATAGAAAAAGCGGAGGTGCAATTCAAACTGGAAGGCAGCTCATGGGCCCTACTACGAAGCCTGTGCTCCTTTCTCTCTTCTCTGGCGTCAAATTCTTTAAGCATAATGTTTACAACAGAACAATGAATGCTGAAGGTGTGAGGGCCTCCCATGGGCAGACTGGTCCATCCAAGAGGTTTCTGATACTGTCTCAGACTTTCTTTTTTGAGGAAGTATTCTTTGTGCCTTTCAGGGTAGCTAATGGCTTTGTATTTGTCTAAAAGTGCAATTCATTCATTATTGGTAAATCTTTAGTTGAAATAATCACAAAGCGCTCATCGAATCTGAAGGTTCTTAAAAGAACTGCACCGCAGCTTGGTATACTGAGTTGTAATCTCAGTGGGAAAGAAGTCTCGTCACGCCACACATGCCAGAATGGAGGAGTGTAAACTGACTTCTGTAAACGACTGAACTATTCCATTTTAACAGATCCGTTATAAGCGTTACCTTTTCGGACAGTTACTCGCAC